TCCCCATACACTTCACACAGTTGCCGAGAAATTTCAATCGGTTTATGTTTTTTTGCCAACAAAAACCTTATCTCCGATCGCACCTCACAACTCGTGGGATTTTCAATTGCAGCACACATTTCAAATGTTTGCTGTGAAATAACGGGCAACGATATGAACCTCCCACTAGCACGACCAGATGCAGACTGAGCGGCGGACGCACAGACCAAAGATGGCCTCGCTAGCTCCGCCCCTTCTTGCTACAGACGAAAATGTAATCTATTTTGTGGATAGCCCTCGTATATTTATGATATGCCTGTGATATTTATCATAGGTCGCCCTGTGGCTTTCTTGTTCTTTCTGTTTGGCTTCGCATGTAGAAACCTCATCCTTTATAACGATAGAGAAAGCTTCCCTCCCACCAGAGGATGGAACGGGTTCTTACCCAAAGAGACCACGGTCCCGTAGTTTTCCACCATGACTTCCCGATAGAGAGCCCTCTGCTCTGGGTCGAGCATCCCCCATTCGCCTTTGCTGAAACGCACGGCCACTTCCTCAAAAGACACCGGTCCCTGAGGTGGAAGGGAAAGAATATTTCTTAGAGCCACATGATTCGAACAGCACATCCCTCCCATTAACCCAGGCCAGCTTTCCCCAAACCGCTCTCCTCCAGATAGGAGGCATTACAAGGTGTAAGTTGGCTATGAACAATAGGTGGACTAGGCCAGCCCAGGACAAGCCACAAGGTTGGAGAAAGTGGTTTAAATATAGATAGTCCTCGACTTATGACCACGGTCAAGATTGGAATTTTTCTTGTGGTCATAAAGCGAGAAGGCATGTGACCTCACTTAGTGACAGCAATCCCAGCACTCCACCTTGCCATCGTTACGTGAAGTGCGCTGGTCATTATTTGGGGACTTGCCCCAATCCATTCCCCAAATTATCCTGTGGTAAGATGTTGTGGTTAGCAGGTGTGGATGGCTGAGGAGAGCGAAGACTCAGATGAGGGGCCAGGACCATTAGGGAGTGGACTGCTGCCTTCAGAGATTGTGGGGGCTGGCAGCAGCGATGAGGAGGTTCCCGAGGAGCCTGTGCCAAGTGCGCGTGCGTGCAGGATTGCTCGCAGGAAAGGGCAGCTGCAACATCACACGGGCGACTCGGGAGTAAGGCTGCAAGGTAATGGCCCCTCCTTCAAGAAGATAAAAGCCAGCCGTGAAGCGAACGTTCTTTGCAGGAAGCAATGACACTTTGAAACTCAGCCTTGTGGACATTACAGTATCTTAAGTTGGACTTTTGTGTTGTGAAATATTTCTTATCTGTGATTCTTGGCAGTCTCATACAGTTTTGGCAAGGTTTGTGCTTATCAAAGTTAATTAATTTGCAGCAGCCTTTTAACCGAAGATTCGTAAGACTCATTAAAAGGTTTGATTATCGTTTGTCTTATTGGAAAAGGGTTTGGGTCAGAACATAAGATGTCCATACACTCCAGGGACCCACCTGATCTCATCTGTTTTAGAAATGCCAATTTAAACCCAGACTTACGAGATCCGGCCACACTGAGGAACCTTCTCGGTAATCACCAGCTCCCTCTCACCTTCCCCCTGAAACAGCAGATCCCTCCTTGAAAATGCCAGGAGGTCCCAGGCTCACCTGATCTTCTTCTGCTTCCCTCAGGAAGAGACTTTCTAGCAGCTTCTGCCTTTGCCATCCCTGGTTTTGCATCTGATCCTGGGATAAGTCCAAGTGGGTGGCATTCTCCTCATTCAAGATGGCCGCTCCCTCGCTTTCCCTGCTCTTCCCAGCCTGGGATGCGAGAGAGACCCGGGCAGCCATTTGGGGGCCTACCACATCCAGTTCACACATGTTCTCTTCCTGCTTCAGCCTGTCCCTCAACCCTGGGCTCTCAGGCAAAGGGTCTCCTTGCTTGGTCCTCATCTTCAGGACCAACACAGTTGGAATTTGGAGAGGTGAGAAGCCTAAAGGCTCAAGTTCTTGACTCGACACAGATTATTGCTTGGTAACACCAGCTGGAGGACACGGTCACCAAAGAAGCAAGACTGGTTGGTTTCCAGCTAGCCAGGAGCTCTTCCCTTACCTGAAAGAGAAAAAAAAAAAACATAATAGCTTAACACAGAAAAGCTAATCTTGGACAGTTGGTTCTCGACATAGAACAGTTCACTTAATGACCGTTCGAAGTTACAGCGGCACTGAAAGAAGAGAGTCGTGACCATTTTTAACACGGAGGACCGTTATAGCATCCCCATAGCCACGTGATCAAAATTCAGAAAGTTGATTTTGTATTTGGCTTTAGCTGATTACTTGCAAGAATGATAATCGGCGTAACTTTACCCAAAAGGTTTAATTCCTAGTCACTGAAGTCACTGTCTTAAATGACTAAGAATTAAAATTGCAGGCAAGCGAGCGAATGAATAGATGTTCCTCCCGATCTCTTCTTTCGAGTCCAGGGGTGTCAAACTCAAGGCCCGCAGGCCAGCAGTGGGACCCTACCTGTTCCGCCACCAGTTTGGTGATCGTGCCTGCACCTAACGTGCACGCACAGCTTTCCCTCCACCAGCTGAGGCCTCCAGCGCCAATCAACTGAGAGGATAAAACAGAGAAAAGCGCAGGAACAGGTGTGAGGGCCGATCCTGCGTTTTTCTCTTCTTTTTCCTCTCAGGATTTTTTTCTTCCTCTCCCCTGATCCTCGGAGGCTTTGTTTACTACCGGTTCGGCCAAACCGGCTCAAACCGGTAGCATACCACCACTGCCGCAGGCTGCCTGCAGCCGGCAGGGTACTTAAAACTGGCCCGCGGGGCCAGCCTGGAAATAGCAAAGGACCGTCCCATGGTGCCTCTGCTAGCAAAAATGAGGCATCAGGGTGGGGCACCACCCACACTCCATTCTGGCCAGCAAAGTGCTGCAGGAGGCCGTCCAGGCCAATTATGGAGTGCCGGGGGGTCCCTGCTCCATTTTGGCCAGCAGAGTGCTACAGGAGGCATCTGTTTCTCCCCCCTCCACACTTTTGGCCAGTCCATGAAGAAGAACTACAATGCTGATCCGGCCGTCGAAGGAATCCAGTTTGACACCCCTTTTCTAGTCCATCAGAATAAAAACACCAATTGGGAGATCCGTTGTTCAGGTCTCTAGCAATCCCTTGCAGGCTCACAAATTCCTCCACTGAGGATACTGTGTATACACTATACGCTACTCCACGACTTACAACCGTTCGTTTTAGTGATTGTTCAAAGTCACAACAGCACTGGAAAAAAAAGTGACTTAGGGCCATTTTCCACGCTTACGACCGGTGCAGCACGTAATCAACACTGGGATGCTTGGCAATTGGTTTATATTTACGACGGTGGCGGGGTCCGTGATCCCCTTTGCGTCCTTCTGCCAAGCAAAGTGAATGGGTGGGAGAGCCAGATTCCCTTTAAACCACTGAAGGGATTCTCACTTAGCAATTCTGGCAAGAAAGATCCTAAAATGGGGGCAAAGCTCACTTAACCGCCGTCTCGCTTAACGAACATCAATTTTGGGGCTCAACTCCGGTCGCATGTTGAGGACTACCTGCATGACTAGGGTAGGCTCCTTAACAGACTGCACCGAATAAATCAATCAATTGCAATCAATGAAGAAAAGGCACCGATACCACAAAAAAAAAACAACTTGAGAGGTTCTCTTTGCAAGGACTTGCATTTGTGTCGGGTGTATGGGTGTGTGTGTGTGAGAGAGAGAAAATAAGTACACCACATATAAGCTATGCCCGTGATGGCGAACCTATGGCATGCATGCCGGAAGTGGCATGCAGAGCCACTTCTGCGGCATGTGAGAGGTCTCCCGGAAGAGCCCCACTGCGCAGGCTTGCTGCCGTCCGACAGCTGATTGTCGGGTATCTGGCGCGCATGCCCGTGCGGCCCAGCACACATGGCCTTCTGGGTGCTGGCATGCAAGAAAGCATACACAATTTTCAGCACGGGAGCCGAAAAAGGTTAGCCACCACTGAGCTAGGTGGATATGACCTCACTGATCACCCTCACTCTGTCAAGGACCTCGGAGGACTCATAATCAAACGACCGAAGCGCCAGAGTTCACTGTAACAGCATTGCCAAAAAGGCATTAAGAGTTGTAAATCTAATCTTACAAAGCTTCTCCTCTGGAAATATTGAACTGCTAACTAGGGCATACAAAACCTTTGCTAGACCGATACTTGAATACAGCTCATCTATCTGGAATCTGCATTGTATATCGGACATTAATACGATTGAATGAGTCCAGAAGTATTTCACAAGAAGAATACCCCACTCCTCTGCTCGCAACAGAATACCCTACACCACCAGGCTTGAGATTTTGGGCTTGGACAACCTAGACCTACACCGCCTAAGGTTGGACTTAAGCGTAGTACACAAAATTATCTGCTACAAAGTCCTACCAGTCAATGACTACTTCAGCTTCAACTGCAACAATACAAGAGCACACAAGAGATACAAACTCAATGTTAACCGCTCCAAACTTGATTGCAGAAAGTACGACTTCAGCAACAGAGTGGTCAATGCCTGGAATGCACTACCTGACTCTGTTGTTACCTTCTCTAACCCCCCACTCCTTTAACCTTAAACTATCCACTATTGACCTCACCCCATTCCTAAGAGGTCTGTAAGGGGCGTGCATAAGTGCACCATCGTGCCTCCCGTCCCTGTCCTATTGTCCCCGTTTATTCGTGCCTATTTCCTGTATTCTTACTCATGTTTATACAGTACTTATACCTATCATCTTGTAAGCGACTGGCAAATCAAATAAATAAAATAAATAGACAGGGGCTCCCTGCGCAATCAGCAGCTGCCTCATTGCATCCCCATCTGCTTCCTTATAGCTCAAATTAGCAGGGCCATCCATCCATCCATCCATTTAAGCCTTAATCCTGTCCTGTTCCCTCGACTTTCATAGCCATTCTCTTCCGCATTTTTGAGTCTTTTTTTTTTTGCCCCCTCCTCAAACTTAATAAACTCACCAGATCCCGCCCAGCCATTGACCCCCAGAGTGAAAAAAAAAAAATTTCCTTTGGGAAAAAGGGGGAGGGGGGGGAAACAGTGTTAAAAGCAGGAAGTGACCTAAACCCATTTTTTCAACCTTTCTTTCCTAGAAGACACCCTAGGAATAGACATCTCGGTCAATTTAACCCTTAGAGAGAATTTTCCCCCGGTAAAGCAGCATTCCAGGGGGAAAAAACCTCAGAGAAATCTTTCCTGAACCAGAGGCTCTCAAATTGAAGCTGGATTGCCAGCCCCATCATCCCCAGCGGGTAGGCCCAGATGAGCAATGGGAGCTGTAGTCCATGCAGCACCTCTGGAAGGTGGCCAAGTTGGTTAAAAGCAGACAGCTTCGGCTCTCAAGCGGAACAGTCGAGTTAAAACTTTGCACATAAATGCAGTTTTATGACAAACAGCTCCAAATTACACCCGAGACTAGCCGCTGCGGTTTCTTCTAAAATCCTGGGATTGAGGAGAAATTTCGTCACGGTGAGGACAATTAGCCAGTGGAACAGCTTGCCTTCAGAAGTTGTGGGTGCTTCATCCCAATCTCTTTAAGAAGAGATTGGATAACCATTTGTCTGAAACAGTATACAGAATTTCCTGACTAAGTAGTGGGTTGGACTAGAACAGGGGTCGCCAACCTTTTGGACCTCAGGGACCACCAAACTCATAATTTTAAATCCCGCGGGCCAGAGACCCTGGGAAAATCCCCCAAAAAAGTCTGCAGGAAAATTCGCCACCCCGTTTTCCTACCGATCGATCATTCTTTATTTGGGATCGCAGGATACCGTCTCCGGCTCCGTTCTCAGGGGGAGAGAGAGAGAGAGAGAAAGAAAGAGACTTTTGGCTTCGTGCAAGGAAAGCAGCAGAAGCAGCAGAAGTCTTTCTTTCTCTCCCCCAAACTCCGCCACAAATGAGTCTTCGTGAGACTTGTCACGCTGGCGCAGCCTCTTGGAGCAGGATGCCTTGCAAGGGTCCCAAAGACTCATTTCTGGTGGAGTTTGGAGGAGAGGAAGAAAGACTTTTGCTGCTTTCCTTGCGTGCAGCCAAAAGCAGAAGAAGAAAGAAGCGGAAAGAAGCAGCCACCGGTGGCCAGGTGAGGCACCTGGGGTGAGTGGGGCAAGGTCACCCCCTCCGCCCTATTCCCCCTTCCCCTCACTACCTCGTGTTATTCGCAATGCAAGCGAAGCAAGCCTTGTGTTCCCACAGGGCATCTGGGCGGCACAGCATGGATTAATTACTTTGGGGGTGACATTTCTCTGTGGGGTCAAGCGATTGTTGTTTGCAAACCTTCCCAGTCATCTGCCCACAAACAAAGTCAGGGAAGCCAGAATCACTTAACAACCAGGGCAAAAAATGGTAAAATCTGGCACAACTCACAACTGCATCACTTAGTGAAAAAAAATCCCAATCCCAATCGTGATTGTAAATCGAGGATTAGCTGTACTGTAATGTCATTTATCGTCAAGATCATGGCAAGGTTTAAAAACTTTTCACCTCCTTCTTCTCATGATCTGCTAGCATCAAAGCTGCTTTTTGTGTGTTTAACTTACACACACCTACGTCCTTAAAGAGTTGTTTCTGTTTGAATCACGACACAAAACCTGCGTTGCCCCATAATCAACCCAGCTGGTGGGTAAGTTGATCTTTTGACTTGAAAACACATGTATTCTATATGTGTATACACACAAGCAAAGGAAATAAAAAAAGATGGGAGGGAAGCTAAGTTTTGACATGGCTTTTCTGCAACTATAAAAACAATGAACCATTGGGAAGATATATGATTGTTTTTATATGCTCAACTCATTATTTTTAAACCTATTTTTCTTAACAGCTAGTAATTTATTTCCAAAATAAAAATGTTAATGTGACAGCAAAGAAAAACTCACATACTACATCTAAATATTGCCTGGATAAATCCTTCTGAGTGGAATCTTGACTTATTTCAAAAACCATCTAACATCCAAAATTAAGTCCGCCCCCTTTAAGGTTTAGCTATATTAAAGTTGACCAAAAACCTTTTAGGAGGGCAAATCCATGACGGTTTCTCAGTTGATGTTCAGAGAACCTTTTCTATAGGCAGTAAAACAATAAAAACATAGATAAAAAGGTAGAATTCACAGTACTGTAGAGAATTTATCTGTATTTACTTCCTTTGTTCATGTTTATATTCATACCTATACTTGTTATTTTGTACAAGTTTGACAAATAATAAATAAATAAATCTAACAAATGAAAAAAAAAAGAATTACATTTATTAAAGTCACCAAAAAGGCATTAATGAGTAGGTAGCTTTTGACATTCTCCAAAAATTTAAGTGGAAATTATTCTGTTGGCTGTTCCTCTTCTCCCTCGAAGCTAGTCTCCAACAGGGACATGACACGGTATTTCACTTAGCCACATAAATTTTGGGCTCAATTGTGGTCGTAAGTGGAGGACTATCTGTCAACATGGATCCCAATATTCATCCCAGGAGATTGAGCTCCAAAACCTTTGGACCATCCCCCCGCCTCCCCCCCACAAGACCCTGTCTCTTAGACCTGCAAATCCAACTGAATCTCTCAATGCATGCAGTCCTTGCCTTACAACCATTTCTTTTCTGACCGTTCGGAGTCGCAACGGCACGGACATACAACCACTCCTCCCACTTATGACCGTCGCAGCATTCTTACGGAGACGTGATCAAAACTGGGCGCTTGGCAAAGGTTTATGTGTTTATGACCATTTTGCAATATCCTGAGGTCACTTCGCAGCCAGCTTCCGACAATTCAGTTCAAACCTTTTATTGTCAATGCACAACGTATGTACCATGAGGTTGGATAAGCCTCCCTTTTAGTGCAGCCCACCAAAAATACAGAATATATCTCAATGACTCGTAAGTGAAGGAAAGAACATCCTAAGCCAGTGGCTCATACTAAGAGACACACGATCCTATCTATCTTCTATCTATATACTGTATATAAAAGCGAAATACCACTCACGCACCATCACAAAATCTCCAGAACCGTAAAGCCTACAAACTTGAAATTTGGCACGTTTGTTCCTCTTGGCTTCTAGATGCTCACTAAGAAAGGATTTTTCCAAATGACCATCAGAGCATTAGTATTTCCTATATGATTATTAACACGCTCTGATGCTAAGGGGTTCTACTCCCAGTCCAACCCACCTGAAAAGAAATCTGTTCCAAGTGCAAAACACAAGCAGAGGAGTTTCAGTTTCTGTTTTAATTTCACAGCACCAAGCAGCTTTAGTGCAGAACAGTTGAGGTAAGCCATGACCAGGCTCCTTGCTGTCTCCTTCTTGCTCACACAGCAAATACTGTTTCAGTTTCCAAACAGCCCTCATCTCTCTCTCTCACTGACAGGACACTAGCCAGATGAATACCAATGGATGCTGGTAGGCAGAGGCAGAATTCCCCCCCCCCCTTATTTTCCTCCCCCAAAACTAAGCCTGATCACATAGTTTCATAGTGAAGCACGGGTATCGAGGTAGTATACACATATGTGCTTAACATTACATATAGGAGCCTCTGTGTCGCAGTGGTTAGAGTGCAGTACTGCAAGCTACTTCTGCAGCCAGCTGCCTACAATTTGGCAGTTCAAATCCCACCAGGCTCAAGGTTGACTCAGCCTTCCGTCCTTCTGAGGTGGGTAAAATGAGGATCCAGATTGTTGGGGGGCAAGAGGCTGACTCTGTAAAACAGCTTCGAGTTATATAAGTCTAAGTGCTATTGCTATTACATTATATTATTGCACCAGTGTAGACAAGTTGCACGTTCTCCTGGCCCTGCAAGTCTATCGTACTAAATAGTTGTGGTGTTATGTTGCAGAGACAAATCAATGGAGAGTGCAGGATTTGCTTTACGACTGCACGATTCACTTTAATAACAGGAGTGATTCGCTTATCAGGAGTGATTCATTTGTATGGTTTGGGTGAGAAGTTGCTGGTTACTTTTTACCATGCTACCATCGAGAGCATTTTGGCATACTGTGTAACTGTGTGGTATGCTGGATGCTCTGTAGTGGAGAAGAAGAGGCTCCAGAGAGTTATAAACACAGCACAAAAATAAAAATAAAAATCATCAATTGCTCTCTTTCTTCTTTGGAAGAGATTGCGAAGACCAGACTCCTCTCTAGAGCACTAAAAATCTCCACAGACCATTCTCATCCTGGACATTCATATTTCGATCTGTTACCATCAGGGAGGCGTTATAGGTGTCTTAAAACGAGGACTAATAGACTGAGAAACAGTTTCTTTTCCAAGGCAATAATTG